GTTATCCTATAATCTGCGGTGAGGCAAAAAGGTGATACTCTCTTAATTTTTTTTCCTTCACATCTACATTCAAATCTTTATATGCGTTAACGTGTATAGAAGAAAATTGCCAACTTCTTTATAGCAGCAATATTAACTTATTGAGAAAAAGTCGATTAGATCATTTTCATCACAGTCAAATTTTAGAGATCGTGGCGATTGTTTTCGATGTCTGATCGTATTTCCCGTGCACGAAAATGTTCTACAATACAAAATTAGTAAGTTTGACTATTTTATTTTGAACTGATCATATTGTTCTGTATACACGTCCATTATTTTCCCGAATGATAAAAAAAATTATTCTTTGAATTGAGAAACAGGCATTTCTATTAAAAAAAAACAAGGAGTGCTTTTTTATAAATAGGAAGTAATTTTAAATTTTTCCATGTGCTGTATTATTGCAGTATTGTATTTATTGAAACGCACAGATGTCCTCTCAATGACCTGTTATACGTCAGTCTGCCAATTCAGAGAAAAAACAAGTACCGCTTTGAAAAAAAAATCACGAAATCCAGATAAGGGGTGCTGCACTTAACCATCTGGCGCTAGATTTCCTTATGAGCGCAAAATAATCCTCGCTTTTTGGCGTTATTGCAAAGCATTGTCGCTCGTCCAACTGCCATTTGAGAGCGATGAAATCGCCGCTGAAAATGAGCGCCTTTTCTGAGCATGATCGTCGTCACATCAATCACTGTTGTGGAGAGCGCCATCGTCCCAGACAACAGTCATCTCCAGGGGATACGTACCATTTTTCGGGGAAGGGAAAAGCCGCGCTATCGCTATGCGCAATATGACCTATCGGATTGGCAGGCCCTGCTCAACTATGCATGTCCCAGTGGATAAAGGGAATAAATGAGGTAAACCCACTGCAGTCATTTTTTTCGAGCCCTTTTTTGGAGGGAGGCAATAATATTCTTAGAAAGTTCTAACACAAAAGGTTTTCATAGAGATAGTCGAAGGAACAGGAGTAATTAAGGCTAACTCATATAAAGCCATTCCTTTCTGAAACAAAGAGGTTTATTCATGGGTTTAAAATGGCTTTGAATTCGATTTGTTCAAATTTGTAGCTGTTTCATTAAAATATCCCTAAAATGCTCTCAGTA